CTATTCACCCATAAAATGCTGCTGTCATCAAAATATTTAATGCTGATGCTCTGAGAACAAGGATGAAAAGACTATATACTAATTAACTGAACAGTGCTAGAGCACCAACTCAGACATTGTCCTGCTTTTTCTGTACAGTTAAATCTTAGCCCAGTCCAGCAAGACAGTGGTTTTCACCAGCCCATGCTCCTCACAGCAGCTTTTTTGCAAGGTTTGGAAAGTTAATACGGATGAGAGACCATGCTCCATAGGCAGCATGGGTGAGATCTCTCTGTTTTAAAGAGTTTTGCTATGTGGACATAAACAGGGCCACTTGAGTTGGCTTTGTGATGTGAAAGATGTCCCATTTTGTTTACTAATAAAGACTTGAAGTAGAGAAATTCATTTTTGCCTACACTTGTGAGAAGTCCTGAGATGGCTCTGGCTTGAGATGGTCCTTCAAAGAGGAAGAGTCCTGTACTTTAATTCCAGGACCGTTCATGTTCTGAAACAAACTTCATAGCCCTGGGAGGGTTATGGGCCTCTGGGATTTAGCAGTAGATGAGATGTTGTGTCTTGGATGGCAGCTTTAGACTTCAGTATCTCAAGCCAAGCTTCACAATTGGAGCTCCATGGTAATGCTGCGATACCAAAAACTAATCAGCCTTTTCATTGCCATTAATGCTAATCTCCATGCTTTTTAATTTCCTTCCCTTACAGGTAAAGTCCTAATTCATATCTTCAAGTTTTTTCACACTGGCAAGGGCTTGTACATGGAACAGCTTCTCAGTCCCCATGCTCAAACTCCACTCTCTCTATTTACATATGTTCTGTAGGTTCACCTCTTCCACAAATCATGTATGCAGAGCCCAGAGCAAAACACACAGTCCTTCAAGAGCTCTACACTAAAACAATGCCTGCAGTGGAGGAATTCTGAAAACAGCTGTAATTCATCCTCCTCAATGTAATTTATTTCTCCTTTGAGCATTACATCACAGCCCAACATCAAAGCCACTCAGCTGCACAATGAGTATGATACCATGTGCATTGTTGTAGAGTACAGATTATGGACAAACAATTACTCAAGCTAAATGGCATCATATCCAAAAAAAGAATAAACACTCAACAATGTTCTTCAACAAAATTGTACGTAGGGAATACATAGAGTCCTTGGAAAAATAAATTAGCAACAGAAAATGAGTGAATTTGTCAGGTCTAACAACAATGATGAATCTAGTGAAAGAGAGTGAAGAGACTGTTTGGCTTGGAGTCCGCTTTCTGACCTCCTAGTCAAAACTAACTGGAAGCTAAAAATTATCTGTGATGTAAGGGGGAAAAAGTGTTCAATGACTTAAGGTCTCAGTGCTGAAATATCACACTGATCTTTTTATGGCTTCCAGTAAAATGAAAAAGATTTGTTAAAGAGGATTGTTGAGATGATATGGGAAAGGTCCTGGTCCTACTGTATCCATTCCATGCACATTGGATCCCATTAGCATACCTGGGTGGAGGACCCTTGCTATCTTCTCCAGTTCATTTCCTCAACTCTTCCATTTTTACTTGAAAACTGATCTGTGACTGCAGTTCAATCTCAAGATGAGCTTTACTTCCCATCTGTTGATGGCCTGTCTTTCCCAAGAGGATTTCCCTGATCATGGAAACAAGTCTCTGAGTTTCCACCAGCTACAGACATTTCTTGTTTTCTTCCTCCCTGGACATGTAAAGCAGGGCTGTATTTTACATTTAACTGAAGAACACCTGCTATGCTCCCAGATAGATGCCTTAAACCATTAAAGGGATATAAATCATGGTGCTCCACAAGTATAAAAAAGCAAAACATACTCCCCCCTAGAAGAAAGTTATCCATTACAAAGGCTTCTACATTTTCTTCTGAAGTGCTACATCAAGGCCACTGTCAAAGGTGGGATGCAGGTCTTGGCAATATTGCCTGGTGCCTCCCCTACCTACTACCTGTCCCAAACTGCTGGAAAGCAGCTTGGCAGAAAAGGACCTGGGGGTCCTGGTGGACACCACGTTGAAGATGAGCCAGCAGTGTGCCATTGCCACAAAGAAGGTGAATGGTATCCTGGGCTGCATTATGCGAAGCATGGCCAACAGTTTGAGGGAGCTGATAATTCCCCTCTACTGAGCACTGGAGAGACCACACCTGGAACACTGGGTCCAGTTCTGGGCTCACCAGTACCAGACAGACAGGGACATATTGGAAAGAGTCCAGCAAAGGACCACAAAGATGATTAAGGGACTGGAGCACCTCTCCCATGAGGAAAGGCTGAGAGAGCTGGGACTGTTGGAGAAGGGTCAGGGAGCATCTCATCAATGTGTATAAATATCTGAAGAGAGGGTGAAAAGAAGATGGAGCCTGGCTCTTCTCAGTAGTGCCCAGTAGCAGGACCTGAGGACATAGAATCATAGTATCATAGAATCATTTTGGTTGGAAAAGACCTTTGAGATCATCAAGTCCAACCATAAACCTAACTCTGCCAAGTCCACCACTAAACCACATCTACACTTCTTTTAAATACCTCCAGGGATGGTGACTCAACCCTTCCCTGGGCAACCTGTTCCAATACTTGAAAACCCTTTCAGTGAAGAATTTTTTCCTAATATCCAATCTAAACCTCCCCTGGTGCAACTTGAGGCCATTTCGTCTTGTCTTGTCCTTTCAAGTAGTTGTAGAGAGTGAGAAGGTCCCCCCTGAGCCCCCTTTTCTCCAGACTAGACAACCCCAGTTCTTTCAGCCACTCCTCATAAGACTTGTGCTCTAGACCCTTCACCAGCTTTGTTGCCCTTCTCTGGGTAACCTCCAGTACCTCATTGTCTACAAACTGAAACATAGGTTGTTCCCTTTGAACACCAGGAAACCATTTTCTACTGTGAGGGTGCCTGGGCACTGGCACAAGTTGTTCAGAGACATTGTGGAGTCTCCATCCTTGGAGATATTCAAAAGCTGTCTGGACATGGTCCTGGGCAACTGGCTCTAGGTAGCCCTGCTTGAACACTGGGGTTGGACCAGATGGCCTCCAGAGGTCCCTTCCAACCTCAACCATTCTGTGATTATGGGACCTTTTCCATTCCTCTGAGATAACCCAGGTTTTCCAGCTGCAGCATCCCCTTGGCCATAGCCCAGCTCCCTACCTCTCTACCTGCCACTGAGTGCCAGCATTTTGGGTCAGGCAGATGAAAACTCATTCAGCAGGGAGGAGGGAGCAGAAAAGGATCCTAAAAAAAGGATCAGCATGTCCAGCCAAGGTCAGTTTAACACGTCCAGCCAAAGTTCAACCACCCTCAGTGGTCATGCTTCTCCCTGTTTGCTGTTGCTCTTTTTATTTAGTTGGCAGAAACCAGTTCCTGTCACATGGACAGCAGACAGCTGGACTGACAGAAGTTTCTTACAAGGGAACACAACATGTGCATCAACCATTGCGTCTGAAGTGTCGGCTTCTTGAGCCTGGGTTTGCACTGCTTTGTTTTTGATTTGATCTGAGACCGCTCCAAATTCACCAGGTCTTTTTCTGCATCCTGGGCCTGTGGGAACTACGCAGTGTGGAGGTGTTTGGATAACCTTGGGCTCTGCCTTGAACAGTTCACTGCTCCCTCTTTTTTTCCACATTGAGAACATTTTTAATCAGTTTAATGAGTTATGAGTATAGATAAATTGTATTAATCACAAATTTAGACACAGCTTCTTATCAAATGTTTTAGTATAAAACGATTTTTTCTTGGAAAAATACTACCGCTTCGTTAAAGATGCTTCAATATCTGGTTCTTCTTAGTTGCCTGGGTAAGTTGCAGTTGAAGTATTTGAGCTGGGAAAGGGTGAAGCTCTCAACATCTTAAGTGGTGTAGGTTAGAGCATAACAATTTTTTCTCTGCAGTTACTGTGCTAGGGCAAAACCTAATGTGAACACAGTTATTCTGGCTGGAAGGTTTTCTCTGTATTGTGAGAACAAGATCTCCATGAGAAAGATCTGGTAGTTTTCTGAGGAAGGGGAAACCTACATCCCAAAAGAAAGGGCATTTAGGTTGGTACACAATTTCCTGGTAGTTAGGGTGGGGTTGTAGGGAGTAGGGGAAACAAGTCAATTTATCATAGAATCATAGAATCATGGAATGGTTTGGGTTGGAAGGAACCATCAAAGGTCATCTAGTCCAACCCACCTGCAGTGAGCAGGGACATCTTCAACTAGATCAGGTTGCTCAGAGCCCCATCCAACCTGACCTTGAGTGTTTTCAGGGACGGGGCTTCTACCACCTCTCTGGGCAACCTGGGCCAGTGTTGCACCACCCTTATTGTAAAAAATTTCTTCCTTATATCTAGTCTGAATCGGTCCTCTTTTACTTTAAAACCATTACTCCTTGTCCTATTGCTACAGGCACTGATAAAAGTTTGTCTCCAGCTTTCTTACAGGCCCCCTTTAGGTATTGAAAGGCCACAATAAGGTCCCCCAAGAGCCTTCTCTTCTCCAGGCTGAGCAGCCCCAACTCTCTCAGCCTGTCCTCATAGCAGAGGTGCTCCAGCCCTCGGATCACTCTTGTGGCTCTCCTCTGGACTCACTCCAACAGGTTCATGTCTCATTTATATGAGAGCTTTGCATCTTGAAGCCTGTTTGTGGTATTTTTTAACCATGGAGGCTTTAAGGCTCCAGGATGGAGTAATCATGTGCAAGTCTCAATCACTTGATCTTTCAGACTTGTTTAGCTGGTAGTAACACGTGATGACTGATCTCTTTTTTGGTGTGGTTAAGGGCAATCTCTGGAAGTCCCCTAAGGGGTACTCTTCAGAAGGATGTGCTGACGGGGTGAGTGATTGGAGGCCATGAGGCCCAACCAAACAGCTGGAAGTGGCAGGTAATGCTGGTGTCTTATACTTCAAAAAAAGCCTTTTGCTTGAAAAAAAAGTGGGGCTATGACAGTTTGCACTATCCAAAGCCACACACACTGTTTCTACAATGGTATCTCATGGCTTGGGTATAAAATATGGATATAAAATATCACTTCAGATGGCCTATGCTGACTACCCAGGGTACTACTCTCACATCTGCGGTGGAACCCTTATCAGCACCCAATGGGTCATGACTGCAGCCCATTGCCTCAGCATGTGAGCCAGATAAAAAGCATTAAAACTCTTGCTCTGCTCCTCATTCTCACTGCAAGTGGGAGCCAGACCCTTCTCACCCTCTGAGCTCCCCACTGGTGCTGTTCCTTGCACAGCTGGACATCTCCCTGCACACTTAATCAAGGGAACTGGAAAACTCTGTTTGCTTTAGTCTTGATTTTACACATTAATTGTTGACTTCCTGGGCGTGGAAATCAAGCTGACTGCTGATTTGCATAAAAGGAGGTACATTTGCATGAATGTGAGCATTTCTAATGGGTTTACATCCTGAAAAACCTGCACAGAGATGGAAAGATTGAACGAAATACATGTTTTGTAGCTCAGGGGCCGTGTTCTACAATTTGCTCTGCAGCATGTCTAACACACACCACCTAAACAATACACGGTGACACCAATAAGTGAACACTCCTCTTTAATTACTCATGCCTTTAGTGAATGTACTCACAATAAAGTGTAACGAGCTGATCCTTCACAGTCTGTTTCAGATAGATGCAGAGATGCAAAATGGATGTTCTCGTTCAAGATCAAGTTCTATATCAGCTGGTGCTGCACCTTCACTTGCTTCACCAGCAACCCGCAGGCAGCATTTGCCTGATTCAGAAAACCATTTAGCTACAGTCCATTGAAAATCCTCTGGTGAAAAGCGCCTTAGAAATTACTACGGTGGTGGAAGATCTCAGTGGTGCAGGATTTACAGTACAAAAGTAGTGGTGAAGAGTAGTTTTTCCATTAATTATTCTGTAATTTGTTTTCAGGCCACCAGGAGTAACCTACCAAGTGGCTCTGGGTGAGCATGATCTCTTGGAGGTGGATGGCACCGAGTACTATATAGATGTGGATAGAGTCTTCATTCATAATGACTGGAATCTCAATGACATTACCCAAGGGTAATCATTTTGACTATCATCAGATGATTAAATGGTACTTAACACCCTGTCCTGCTAGTGTTTACGTGTATATTCAGTCCAGTTCCCAGTGAGGTTGGATTTGTGGGAAGCACTGGGAGATGATGCAATGAAGGTTTCCCAAATGACCTCCTCTCTTGGAGGTCTTACATGGTGTCTATGTGGATGACCCCAGGCCTGTTTTGCCCAAGACAAAGATCAGGGGGGAAGATGGATCCAGGATGTACAACAGATTCAGGGGCTTGCCAGCAGTCACACCACTACTTTCACCTGATGAAAGGAAGTCAACAAAGAAGTGTCAAGGGACTGTCTTAAATTCCTCCTGGGAGGCATTCTTGTCCACCCAGGGTCCCCTAAAATTCACTCTGAGGTTGGGTGCCTCCAAAGGGGGGGTCTTAGCCCTTTATCGGTCTGTACCATGACCTCTTCTCTCTTAATTGGTAATATTTTCATGTCACCCGTGACAGCTGTAAGGATTAATTAATGATGTTTGGCAAGGTGCCCAAGCCAGAGGCTAGAGACCTGTATAGGTGATAGAATGTGAGTGGGGACATCTGGTTTATGACTAATTCAGGATTTTCAGTAGAGTCATTTACCCGTCTCCCATTTCAGTTATGACATTGCCCTGCTGCACCTCGATTCTCCTGCCTTTGACAATGGGTTTGTTGAACTGGGAGTGCTTCCACCTGAAGGAGAAATTTTGCCCAATAACTATCCCCGCTATATTACCGGATGGGGGCTAGTTAGTGGTAAGTAAGGGGGGAGGAGGAGGGTTGAGGGTCTCACCTGGTTTCAGAGGGACCATCATGCAGGTAAGGCTGCATGAGACAGGGTCCTTCCTCAACCACTGGAGCTCCTGGACCAAAATCTCACCCTTTCTCTGCTAGCAGGTGGCAGCATCACAGAAAGACTGCAGGAGGTGATGCTGCCAGTGGTCAACCATGAGATCTGCTCCCAGGTCAACTGGTGGGGATCTCAAGCAAAAGTCACTATGATCTGTGCAGGTGGAGACGGCGTGTGGTCCGGATGCAGTGTAAGATGTTATTATCAGAGGATTTTCAAGCTCATTTCTTTCTCTTTCCTTCCTATCTGACCTTGCTGTTCCTTCATGTGGGACCTGGTTTTGCCATTTCTCCACCTGCAATAGCTCTCCTACAAATCCTGACCCTGTTGCTGCTTTCTGATGAATATCTTCTAAACCAGCCTGCTCCACATTCCTCCATCTCCCCACAGAGCAGCCAGTAGAGAGAAAACCTCCAGATCCTCAGGGTGCATCTCTCTCCTCTGATTTTAGAGATATTTGCCCTTTCTTCCAGCAGCATGTCCCATTGACCAGACCCTAGGGACTAGGTTGAGACTTTGGCAGTGCCCTCTGCCCTTATCCACAGAATGAAGCTGTGGGGATGTCCTACCACGCCTCCAACGTTGCTGTCATGTTGCACCCTGGGCCAGGCAATGTTCCCCGCTGCTTGTCATAGAATCTTCGCCTCCCCAGCTGCTCTGCTGACATGGACAGTGGAGCTTGCTGCAAGTTTTGGCTACGTCCAACTGCACCATCTGACCCAGGTTAGGTGGAAAAGGAAGATGCTCTGAGGTCCTCTCTATCCAGGTGGCCCCAGCATCAAGGCAAGGAGGTCTGGCATGTAAAGGCAGGGGATACCTGTTACCTCTGCCTCTATTCTCTTCACTACAGAGGTGGCTTCTGGTGATAGCAACCATACAGAGCTCTTAAAAAATAAACACATAACATATTTGATATGTAAATATATTAATATATTATAGAAACATATAGAAATATAACAGGTTATGAATTATACATAGTACAATTATAGGTATAGTATAATTATAGGTCTACATATATTTAGTGTATTTTTTGGTGTGGGTTAGTTATGGCAGAACCTTGTTACAAACTGGATTCTGAGCTAAGCAAGAGCCTTTATCTTCTCATATATTTGAATTCTTTTTCTCCACCTTAACTTCCCTGGACCCTTTGAATATACTTGTTTGAGAAGAAAAAGGGGAGCAGCATTTCCCTTCTACCTGGTTGCTTGTAGCTGGAGAAGTAGAGTGATTTTTCAGCAGAGGTGCTATGCAGGTGGACCTTGCTGGGAAGGGTTGTGTGTGATGCAACGTGCCCTGGACCATTGGCTTGCAATGGTACTGGTAAATTAGGGTTTCAACCCTTCCTGGGGTGTGTATGTGTCTATATGTGCTTGTGTATGTGCAGGTAGACTGAGATAATGGATAGTGGATCTGATCTTTGCAGTACCCTGGGAGGTGCTGGGCAGTCTCTCCTCCCATGCTGCTGGGGAGAAGTCAGCCCTTTGCAAAGAAAGCAGCACAAATTTTTATTTTCATGTTCAGAAAGGTGATTAATTAGTGCTCCTTAATCCTATCCAGTCATTCCTCAACTGATCAGATAATTTGGCTTAATATGTTCCTCTCTTCCCTCTGATCCAGGGGGACTCTGGGGACCCTCTCAGCTGCTACAAAGACATTCACTGGCAAGTCCACGGGATTGTCAGTTTTGGGCTAGTTCCTTACTGTAACACCTACAAGAAGCCAACAGTCTTCACACATGTGTCAGCCTACGTGGACTGGATCTACAGTGTAAGTTGCTCAGTGCCTGCGAGGTAACCTGATGTATCTCCCATGAAGGCAAGGGAGCCCAGAGGAATTTTACAATGCAGGTGGTGAAACACTGGCCCAGGTTGCCCAGAGAGATGGAAACATTCAGGGTCAGGTTGAACAAGGCTCTGAGCAACCTGATCTAGTTGCAGATGTCCCTGCTTACTGCAGGGGGGTTGGACTAGATGATCTTTAAAGGTCCCTTCTAACCCAGACCATTCTATGATTCTGTGATTCTGTGATTCTGTTATTCTATGAATTGGAGTCTTTCATTTATTAAAACCATTAGGAGTTGAACTGGAAGATCTGAGGAGATCTAAAATCAGAGTATTTGGTGCTACTTTTGGTGCAGTCAAACAACTGTAAGGAAGGAGCTGCTGTCTTGGAGCTGAAATGCTCTACTGAGGGCCACAGATAAAATTCAAGACAGGCAGGAGCTGGGCTCTGTGTCCAAAAAATGATCGTCACCATTCACCCAGACAAAACCTTACTGCAGGAAACCACTGAAGGAATTAGTTGGTTAGCGAATGGGAAGTGCAGTAAACATAAAGCATCTCTACCAGCCAAGTCCTGCAGTGCCTCACAGTGCACTCTCAGCTTTACCTTTGAGAATGTGCAACAAGTTCTTAACTCCCAGAAATAAAGTCTGTCAACAAGCAGCAGCTGTTTCCCAGACACAGGGGATGGTTTTGTGGAAAAGCCACTGTAAACCCTGGGATCTGCTGGAAAGAAAGGTGGGAAGAGGGAGGATTTTAAATCACTGCAAGGAAGAGGGAGGCTACAAGTGGTCCATAAACCTTTTTGGATGGGAACATGTTATAGCAGTCCCCTGGCCCAGCTGGGAACAACCCTTCTTCAGAGTACTTGTGTGGGATGGTGACATGTGTTATTCTGTCCCTTTACTGAATTCACCTCTTTTTTTGTTCTCTAGACTATAAAGAATAACAGAGGTTTCTAGAGAAGGATTGACTGGTGTATCCCCCTCTACTCCCCCTCTACTCCCCCTCTACTCTGCTCTCATAAGGCCCCACCTGGAATACTGCATCCAGTTGTGGAGCCCCCATCACAAGAGAGACCTGGAGCAGCTGGAACAAGTCCAGAGGAGGCCACCAGGATGATCCAAGGGCTGGAGCACCTCTCCTATGAAGACAGGCTGAGACAGTTGGGGCTGTTCAGCCTGGAAAACAGAAGGCTCCGGGGAGACCTTATAGCAGCCTTCCAGTACCTGAAGGGGCTACAAGAAAGCTGGGGAAGGACTTTTCATAAGGGCAGTTAATGACAAAACAAGGGGAAATGGGTTTAAGCTGAAAGAGGGGAGGTTTAGATTAGATATTAGGAAGAAGTTCTTCACTGTGAGGGTGGTCAGACACTGGAACAGGTTGCCCAGAGAA